TTATCTGGTTTATTTTAATTCAGAAATAAAATCCTGATAGTATGATGTGATAATGATCTATGGTCAGTATTGCAAATCAAATAATCCTTGCAGTGGCACTGACTACAGGAACGTAAATGCTAAATACAATTCTAACCACGTTGATATCAAACTCTTTGTGCATTGGTTATGTCTTTAGACAAAAAATACACGTATCTCCAAGCATATTGTCTTTGAGGTACAAAAACCAGGAATTAGCAAAATTTAGTACAGAGATGAGAATTGATATACAGGTTGTCTTGCCCAGTTTATTTGAAACTACCATGGATTGGTAACACTTCCTTGCGATTCGAGAGTCGGATTAGGCAATCTATCACAAAATTTTTCTTTGCTGTCAATAATCGTATTGTTAACAGCACTAGGAGAGCCCTTTCATCCATTCAAAAGGATTGTGTTTCTACTAATCAAAAAAGTTCCGTTATTTATGAATTTACATGTCAGTGTGATTCTGGCTACGTAGAACGCACAACCCAAAGTTTGGGGATAGGATAAAACAGCATTTTCCTTCCAACATAAGAAACAAAACTGTTCATTAAAGAGAACAGCCTCCTCGATCTTGTAGGTCTAGAAAACTGTTAAAACAAGTGACCCTGCCATCGGTCAACATCTTATAGACAACCCAGATTGTGCTAAACTGCGACATGTTTCGGATAATTGGCAGATCCCGGAGGCTTTCTATCTAGCAGTTTTGGAATCGATCTACATACAAACGTAAAAGCCGCCATTGTGTAGTTAGAAGGAGGTCGTTTCGCTCTTGGACTCCAATGGTAATTTCTCTATAGGCACCCAGCATTGATTGGTCAACCTGTCTTGTGTTTGCGTTTTTCTGATTGGCCTATTTCGATCCACAACTGGGTATATATTTTTCATCGTGTTCTTTCTGACCTTCATTTTGACGTCTTATGCTCTGAGAAGTGTTAGAAAAAAAAGCTTTTAGCTAATATGTCGTAAAATGTTTGTTTTTTTCAAGTTATGTACCGCCAAAAAAATGTTCACAGAGATGAAAATATTATATCAATGACTTCCATATAGGAACTGCCTGAGTTTTTTGTAGGGGTTTTTATTCATTAAATCAGCTACTTGTTTCAGCCTGCAAATAGTTTGAATATCCTGGCATCTTAACCAAAGCCATTCTTATCTTGATACCAACGAGTTGCTCGATTTGATCTGTTGTATTGCATATGCATTTTCCAGATTTTTTATCAATGCATAAATTTAACATTGAGGCTCAGTCAGATTATCTGTCATTTCATCATCCCAATATTTATTGAAGTGCCATGACGGTGAAAGTTCGTCAAAATTATCAGGAGACGGAAGGCTTTGCCTAAAAGGTGGTAAGCGACGAGTTGAGAAAAAGTTTGATTGTCCAAAGCTATTAGTAAGTCGCTATATGAGCTTGTTTTTGAACAAGAACATCTTTCTTTAGCATACAAGGTTGAGGTTTATGAAGGAATGTCATCAACAATCTATTTTTCTACATCATTTTTGCTTTTGGTCAGTATATTAAAATTGACCATACAGGGCCTTCTAACTTTTCTTTGAAGTACAAACAAATATCGACCTTAAAAAACCCAAAAATGCAGGCAGCGTTGATACAACGGAAGTTTTTCTCGTCCGGCTTGTATTTGTATTTGCTTGATTCTAGCCGACAAGAAAAAAATTGCAGATATGATAAGGTAAAAGGATTAGACTAAATCCAAGTGTAAAATAACTATTCAAAGGATTAGTCAAGATGAAAAGAGAGCATTTTGTGAAGAAATGTTTCATTGATCGATTAGCAAAAAAATATCTTTTTACAAATACCTGGGCTCTTACTTGAACAAGTAAATGTTTTGCAGTTATTCCCAAAGAAGGTACGTTTAAAGACTTGTTTACACTGCTCAATCAATTGCTTCAATAATACTATTATTGTTGATAACGAAGAAAATTATGCCTAACTGGCACCGTAGTTGTAGGGCAGCTGTAGCTGATCTGGCTTGTGGCATGATATCTTGGGCATGAAAAATGATCTTAAGCACGGTATCTTTAGCTACAGCAGCAATTTGGTCGCTAACACGATGCAAAATTCACTTCCATAATATGTCCATTCTAGAAATTTATCAATTACCACAACACACAGAAATTCAACTGGAAGTTTGTGCCTTTGTTTGTACCTCTTTCCAAGCTTCAGCGTACGATGTTTCCCCCATTTAATCCGGAGTAAAAGCCTCATTGCCAATAAAGCTTTAACACGAAAAAAAATTAACATATGAATTCTATTGTTTCAATTTTCTCATTGCATCGAATGAACATGGCATCGAATAGAGATGATGCAGTTATAATTTTACTTTGCTTTTAGGAGTATTCTGAAGAAAAAGAATTCAAAAACCGTATAACTATCTCCACCATAAAAGGAAGAAAGCATGTTTAATGAGAAATGTAACTTGTTCATCTGCAAAAAACGATGAAGGCCTATCAAATATTCTTTGACAGAATCAAATTTAAGATATAATATACTTATTCTTATATATAAAAACACTAAGAGTATAGAAAAACTTAACTGTAATATTCACTGTCAATCCAAAATAACTGTTCTGAACTGTGACTAAGAAAATTTGAAAATCCCTGCATTGGTACGATTCAATTTTTGATTCTATACTCTTAATGCCTAAAATATTATTTGCAAAGAAATTGCTTTACTCGAAATAGCCTGGAGATTTTGTTTTATAAATTCATTCTTTTGATATCATTTTTATGTATCACATACGAGCGTATAACACTTGACTAGAAGTATGCATATGACCAAATGAATCATAATCCAAAAAATGCAATGGAAAAACTTCAAACCTTGAATATAATATTCAAGACTCTTTGAGCTTTGTAAGTTTGTACTATGGAGGTTATAAACAACCTTCGGCTCAGTTATGGCCTACTGATTAAAAAAGTTAAAGAATTTGCCTAAATCTACAAATTTGTTTAGATTGTAAAAGGCAATTGATATCATCCCTTTTGTAAAGGTCTTGAAGCCAGAAAATAGAAATGCAAACTTCTACTCCCTTCGTATTTCGCTTCTCTTGTTCTTGTTATTTTTGTACTGAATGTTGTTACGAAAAATAGTCTTCTTTGTAGTTATAATGTAAGATTTAGTCACTTTTACTGTAACGTAACTGATAAAGATAGACAAAGTTCAAATCGGAATAAATCTTGAACACACGCTCATTTATTTTTGGAACACTTGAACAAATTTATTTCGAATCGTAGATATGCACCTTTATCAAAGAATGCAACAAAGAACGAACAAATCACCTGGTATTTTGAAAATGTTCACAATATTGCTCGTGAATGGAACTTGCTACGTAGAGGAACGTGACAGACAGTCAAATGGCACACATTAGTTTATTCTATTGTTTATCGTTTATTTATTTATTGTTTTCATATTTATTACGATAGGTAAGCTTACAACTGAACAATTTTTGAAAAATTACAATTATTAGAAATTTTGGTAAGCATATTGTAAAAAGCATCGGTACCAAATGTAAATTTTCAAAACTTAAGATTATTTAATAGATTTTGTCAAGTTTTTTGCAAAACCCTTGTGTTAGAGTGACGTCATACATTGTTTTTTTTTTATTGTTTTTATTGTTCCATTTGTTTTATTTGCATTTCTTTAACATGGTGTCAATTCCTTAATCTTAAAATGGTTAGTACCAGCACCCTACTAATAAATAAAAATAATATAAATCATGGACACAAAACTTCAAAAGAGAGTTTGAGTCATCTGTAGGATGACGAGAGCCGCTTCATCAAGTGATAATGCATAATGACATACAGTTAGCTAATTAAAGTACATAAAGGCTATTTGCCGGCTTAATTAAAGAAAGATGCACCGCTTCTTATTGCTTTTCTCTCCCACAATTTATGTTTTTTATATGAAGTTCAGTATTTTTTCTATTCGGTATGTATTTTTATTGGTCTTAAATGGACCTGATGTGAACACAGCCATAGTTTAAGTGTAAATGTTATTGCTAGCTGAGCAATTTAGTTATTTCTCCAAAATTTCAATTCTCAATATATCCACGGGTACGTCCCAATATATAGTAAGTATTTACTCCACAGGTACGTCAACATCTATGCTTACCACCTCTTTTATTTGCTCGGAGACAATCTTAGTCACTACTGCTCCATCGACCTTTCTTGTTCAACCAACTTCTGCAAACTTATTGGGCAAAAAATACAGAATTTAAAATTTTTCTTGACTTTTGAATGAGTTATATAATATAAAGTTTAGCATATTGGCTGATGATACACATTTCACCTATGATACATAACATTATATTGTATGCTATCAGAAAATAATCTCTTCTTTGACAACGATAACGCAAAGGATATACGGATAAAGATGGATAAGTGAACAGAAACAAAATATGTACTTTTACCCTTATATGATGTATTGTTGGCATATATGTGGAGATAAAGAACCTAGAAATTAATAGACAGAAGTTAAAGAGAGTTGCAGCTTTTAAATGATGCCTTTCAAATTACAGGCGGGTCAAGGAAATTTGCTTTTTGTTCGACAAAATTAATGTAATCACTTGAAATCATAGGTATCTTGAATTTTGTGTGGAATTCATTAGTTGAACAAGAACAATTCAAACAGGAAAGTCGTCCACAATTTGAAGAATAGGCAATGAGTTTTTGAAAGTGTTCATTTATTTCTTTGACAATTCCAAAAATCAAAAACGGTATGATTTCACAGACATCACAAAGAAGCGCCTTTGGCCTCGTTTCAACACCAAAGAAGGGAATTTGTGATAAAAAATGGCATAGAATTGAAAATAACTGGAAAAAATTGAAAAATTGAAGAAAATTCAAAAATATTTTGAAAAAGTAAAAAAAATTAAAAAAAACTACTTGCAGCTATTATTGAGTTTTTGTCACTATGAATCTGTCACCTGTTTTGCAACTTGCAAGTAAGAGGCAAATATTGCATAAAGTTCATGATTACCTTGAAGTTTGCTAGTTGAGACTTTACATGGTAGCATCTGCTTCTTGAATAAGCATAACATCTTGATTAAGAGTTTATGTTGAAAAAAGTTTGAATAATTTAACATTTTGACTTCAGTAATTATTTAGCCTATTGTGACTGAAATCTATCAATATAAGAAATTATCAATGTGAAATGGAAGGAGAAATCTGAAGTTAAGCAAATTGAGCCTTTCTAGATCTCGACAAGAAATTAATAAATGATAAAAATCTTCTACTCTTTAAATATAAGCTGCTTTAGTCAAAATATTATGACAAATTCATAGCACAATTAAAAATATCAACAGCCACTAAAAGATAAGCATCTTACATTTTTACGAGGATAGATTCGCTCAGCATGATATTGTCGTGGTAACATCAACAATAAGCCTTGTAATAAAGAACGGCCTAGACATCTACGCTGTTACTGTTAGGGCATACTCTTCATGTTTGTTGAACTTTTGTCAAAACAAGAATGGCTATTTCATTATTTTAGGCCCTGAGATCAGCATATGTATTAAAATTTCTAGCGACCCCTTCCAAGCAGAAAAGCACTCCTTTTCAAAAAGCGTAGAATAACCACACAAAAACGATATAATTGCTATAGCTAAACAGTGTAGCTTCATCATAGTACAATAACATATATTTGTGCTCATGCTACATCAAGCTGTGTAATGTAAAATAACAATCATATATTGTTGCAAGGTGCAATTTTTTATGGATGAAAATTTTATTCAAACAAAGTAAATGACACAAATAGAGTAACAATTAACATGGTGTATATAGCTCTTTATTAATGTATCTTAATGTTGTGCTAGAGCAAGAAGAGGCGGAACGTTTGTGGCAGCAATGGCCTAAATTCGCTTCCATATAGATAAATTACTGAGTGGATTATGCTTTTTCAACTAGTATGCAGAGGCATTATTATTCAATGTATGTAAACATTCGACTTGATCCGAATCCGCACAAACAAATAAACTACATACTGATTTCAACTAAATTTTCTGGTGTGTTTTAAATATACAGCAACAATAACTGGCATGTTCTTATTAGCTTAAAGCGAAAAAAAATTTTGATCGAGAAAATTCGATTCAATCTTGACCCTTCTCTCAAATTTCTTGTCAGGTTCATTTATTGACGCTTATTGAGCTATTTTTACTGACTCTACACAAAAAATATATAAGGAATTATCATTACAGAACATGAATTCTACCAATAACGGTATTTTACACGAACCACTCCGCTTGGAGTTCGTAAACCTCAAGCTCACATACTTGAAGAAATTCTTGCCTGTTCAAGAAGACAGTCACGTACCGACCAAGCAACAGCCTTGGACAATCAAACTTTTTCAATTCACCACTTGCCAACTTTCCATTTTTTACGCAAAGCGCATTGTTTCGTCCGCCACTTGATCTATCATCCCCAACACTGATATCGAATGGATTGATTTTTTGTTGACCAAAAGTTGCGCCATTCTTTATTTGGACACTTTTAACAGCAGCTTGCCTTGTAAGGTCCACTTGCCACCAGGGTACATTGTCAGCTTTTGTGATACTGCATCGCTGCCAGTCCCCAGTTTTGTCACCGTCATTTCCAAAGCTGGCAACAAGTTCTATATTGTCATATGTATGGGTTGATGAATGCGAGGAAAGTTTCTTATAAGCGATATTTCCTTGAACACCTACAATTAAAGTAAAATTGCAAGGATTTTACTGCAATATCAGAGATTGTTTTTTTAAGTAAAATCGCTCAAAGCAGAAGGAATCTGCCTTATCAATCAAACACTTTTATAACGACATGATACAATTTTCAATGAAATTTTCGAGTTACAAAGACTTTTATGCAACTGATTTTATGTTGAATGCTATCGGATGATTTCGATTTTTACTCAGAAAACATTGAGTCTTTTAAAGAAAATTTTCGGACTAAAACTGTCTCAAGAAATTCTCACACATTAAATAAAAGACATGTTTAGTTGCGAATGTATGTCAGTCAAGGAAACAAAAATTGATACAAAATAAATTTAATTCTGAGACATTTTTATTTGATTGAAAAAAGTCTTTGTCATTTGTTCTTAAAGGACAACTTCATCTGATTTTAGCTAAGATATGATACTGCCAGCTTTGAATAAATCCATAGTGCAGTTAAGTCCGTTTTATTAATTAAGAATACTATTGAAGAATAATTTGTAGAAATTTTTCTTCACATATTATTTTTCGTCTTGATATAGTCTCAATAAAACAGTTGAAATATGATCTTGGTATGATATCAATAGAAAAATGTTCGAAGGTCAATGAATTTATTCTTGAACCATGTATAATTGGGGTTGCCATACCTATCAAGCTTTTTTCAGCCGGGGTTGTCATGAGATAATTGGCCAATTGATATGCAATCATTAGCAGGTCACTATTTGTAAGTTGTATATGAGAGCGAAGATAAGTAGTTATTGTTGGACTGTGGTGTATATAGAAGAGATTGAGAAGTCCTTACTGCCCCTCCAGAAAATTAGAAAAAACATTGCCATTTGTATATTGCCAAATGCATATGAAATATTTGAGTGGAGGGGAATGTAGCAAAAAAGCCGTTTCAGCTACCTGCCTTCAAAAGATGAACAGTGGAAAAATAAAATGACAACTTGAGTTTTCTGTTCCATTAATATAAAAACAGAGACTAAAAGGAGGACATCTTTCAATCCTTCTACGCAAATATGATTAAATGAAAAAGGAGATAAACAAATACCTCTTCTTGCTTGTTTCTTTGACCATATAATTAGATTGGATCTCTCGGTTGGGATATCTTGCTCATCTCCAAATTTATAAAAAATGTTGTTCTTGATATCCTTAACAACATAACGACAGGTGTTATCCATGCTGCATTGATGGAAGGTCTTATGAAACATGCTTGTTTTTATCTGTGTTGGGTTGTGCACTTCTTCGAAAACAGATTTTCTTGTACTTTGACTCTCATTTGACTTGATTGGAGTAAAGCAAAACATTGAAAGAAGCACCGTCAAGAGCATGAAAACTCCCATTTTGCACAGTAGATTGAAGTCTTCCCTTAAAGGAAAGAAATCATGCTAACCATTTAAGTGAACAAAAACATTAAAGCCGGCATTTTCTTAGTTTTCTGTAAACTGCTGTACAGCTGCAGTCCTATACTTAAAACTAGCACGTGTTTGGAAAGTAGGCAAGGTAGGTATCATTCATTTTTTTATTTCACATTTCTTTGTGCAAAATTAAAGTCTTGGAAAAATTGAATGCTTTTAACTAATTACAATGTATTAATTACAAAAAGTTAATAAAAAGTTTATAAACTTAATAGTATATAAAATGTTATAGCCCTATAACACTATTCATTGTCGTTCTCCAAGCTATTTTTTTCATATTCTTGCTAAAAGAAGCATTTTGAGCTATTTTCACAACACATAAACTTTTGCAAGAACTAACATAAGAGTGCACCAAAAGAGATTTTTGCACACTGACACTGGTCCATTTTCTTATAATGATTTCCCACAATCCATTAGAGATATCGATTCCATCGTATGATTTATAAAAGAACTAAGATCTCACCTTTTTTGCTAACAGGGATCAGCTCGGCATGAATCCAAGAAAGATTAGGCAATGTATATTTTTAATAACCTGAGAAAAATTTAATGGTATTTGAGTTGTTCTTTTTTTATATAATAACTTTCGTTGTTACTGAATTGATATCGTGTATAAACAAGCTAATATGAAAATGAAATGACTTGCCTTATTTGTCGCGGGCACCTACCATATACTATATAGAAAGGACTTCCATACTTTGAGAGCCCCGTACCGAAAAAGCTATTTAGCAAATTATGTGTTTTTCTAGGGATCTGGAGATCTCATAGGCTTTCGTGGCATAGTCTATTCATACAAAGACCGATATACAACTTTCTGTTTGGAAGGGGGGGGGGGCGGGGCGGTGTTGGCTTGAAAAATCATTGTAACAAAAGTCATATTTCACAAAATAAAAGTATTTTATTTATACAGCTTAAGTTTTTCTTATGCAGCTTATTTTACTTATGCAGCCAATGCCCCCCCCCCCCACCTCCTGGCCTTTCGGTCTTTTTGGTCATAGTTTTGTAGGCAAATGAATTGAAATCAAAGCAGACTAGGTTCTACGTTAACCAGCTTAAAGCTTTTTGAGAGAAATTTGCTTTGTTTTACGAAGTTAATCTTATAAGATATTAATTACCGTACTATGCCTCCTTGCGTTTAGAGTTTTTGACAAAAAAAGGAACTTGAAAGTGAAGTGGCTTAAGAGTTTAGAAAAAAACTTACATTCAAATGGTTGGTATCTGTTGCACGACAAGCTCTGCTGAAGTTTCAAAGATTTACAAGCAAGTTTTGTTAATGCCTCTCTTTAATTGGTAACCAACACAATTGAAATTGCTCTCCTACATAATTAATGCATCACTTGAGTAATGTTTTAGTTTGTTCGTTGGTGTTACATAATCCATTCCAATAATGAATAGACTAACGCAAAATATCTGGTATATAGTTTGAAAAAGTTTGAAATTTCACTTGTTCATGATTGTAAAATATTTGCCAAATGTGTACACTTCAAACTTGAAGATAGAAAAACATGTTATCTAGCATTTTGAATTTTGAACGAGATGGTGAATATCTTTCAAAATCCGAAAAGATGTGTATTAGCTCTACTGCAACTGCTTGGCAGACTAAAAGGTATCGTGTCATAGAGAAGGAAAGAACACGAGGATTGATAATGAGTGATGCACAAGAACATATCAAAAATGTTCACAAGCCATTCTATTTTCTAACGTTTACTATTGGAACATCATGTTCAAGTTCCATATTGCTCTGTTACGTAGTTAGGTGCTTTATCTTGGGTATTGTCACAATATCTTGGGTCTTAGTCAATTTCAGATAAACATCCAAAAAACCAGAAAAACTAAACGCCGAAGCATAAATAAATCAACGCGAAATAAGTGGAATAATTTATACAAAAAAATCAAAAGTCAATGATTCGTATAAGTCGTAGTAAAAATTACTAAGTAGAGGTGGTTGAGACAAGAATTTGTATAAAATCTAGAAAACTACCCAAGTAGAGCCAGTGTAAACAATGTTACATATAATGATCAAAGTCAGAATTGACAATAAAAGCCGTTATATTGTCAATATGTTATTAAATCGTCTTTCTTTTTCAATTCTGTAAAAAATGAAAATTCATCATTTCTTTGCTTAAGTTTGCAAAATATTAACTGATGCAGTTTAATGAAGAAATCGTTAAAAATATTTTTCATTAGAGACGATTAAGAAATGAGACTTATATTGAGTTTCAAAACTAGTATTTATCTAAACTTTTTGTAGATTAATATCTGAGGCATTTATATAGATATTGAATCTAAACGTACGAAGAAATCAATTTAAGGCATTTGCGGTATCAGCAATTATTTAACGTCTTTTTAACAATTATCATATAAAACAGCAGTTTCTAGAGTCAGTTAAAGCAATAAATTTTTAAGAAAATATTGAATGCATATTTTATTTAGTATTGTAAAATCAATCTAAACAAAATAGAGCTTCTAATTATTCTAAACAAAGTAGAGTTTCTGTAGGTTTGTAAAGCAATTAATTTTGGCAAATATTTTAAATTCTTTTAATTTCGGTATCTTGAATAATATCAGCTTCTGCGTGTTATTAAAATCTAAAAAATTGAAAAAGGCGTAACTATTTAAACGTTTAAAAAAAAATTCAAAAAACCTTTAACAGATTGAAGTTTCGGTTTATTTAAAACCATTGCAAATGCAATATCATCAATAACGTTATCAGGCCAGTGAAGCAATTAATTATAATATAAGTTTATTCTTAGATGATAAGTGACAAACTGCTTGCTTCAAGCATATAGTAGATGAAATGGCAAAATTGTCTATTATCCCATTAAAGAGAGATACATTATCGAATATGTATATTGATTTACATTGATGCTTACATTTATCTGTTTTAGAAGGATTTGCGTCAAATAAGAACCTAAAATCCGTTTTGTATTTCGACAATATGATAGCTGGAATAATTTTGCTGGTAATCACAAGAGATCTGAACCTGTTTCAATTCAGACGAACTTTACTCTCGTTTCATTAAGAAGTTTCAGCGTTAAAATGGAGCAACTTTCTGGTAATAAAAATATATATTTCAAATAAGTTTTATATATTTTAATAACTGAAAGAGTAATTGAAGTTTATTTTGAAAAACACAAACAGCAGAGGAAATTTTAATCTTTGTTGCTAGTTCACACATGCTGTGAGGATTATAATTTTCCTTTGCAGAAAACGGCTAGTAGAAAATGAGCCTTGACACAGTAGTAACTTATTTTCAGATTGTTGCTGCTGGTAATTTTTGTAGCTGTAAATAGAGAAATGGAGAATTACTTCGTCTGCGATGCAAGACTTTTGCCAATTTCTCTGTTGCGCTTAATGATCACTCACTAAGCTCTACATTTCGTTCTTTGGACAACTTGGATGAGCAGATGTGTAAGGTTGAATGCATCATGGAGCATCGAGGCAAGTCTATAAATTTAAACAAAGAGTTGGGTATTTGCCAGTTGAATAACAAATCAGCACAGGATCCCAAATATTCTATCAAAGCACAAAAAAGGAGCGCTGGACATACTATTCAACTGGTTATGACGAAGTAAATGTGAATTTTCTAATGAAATTTTTCTGTATCGTAGCTCCTGTATACCAAAATTTCCATTTTTTTTGTTACAAGAAAAATGCACAAATAAGGAAAAGTTAATATAAGGAAGGAAAAAAAGAAAGGCAGTTCAGATATCAGTGAAAATTCTATTGCAGCACTAATTTTATGTTTAGCGTTCTATAATGAAGATGGCCTTAAAGAGAAGAGCCTTTACTCCGATAAGTTTTAATCAGAAATAAAAACCATTAAATGTATGATATTACAATGATCAATGACTAATGCAAGATTTTACAAAACTTTCAATATTATGGAATTGGTCTGTATTGCAATGCAAGTGATCCTTGCAATGCCGGACATAAGTGCGTTGACACTTGCTATTGCCCAGGGTATAAATGCATTGGTAAATACATTACAAGCCACGCAAATTTTCAAACTTTTTAAACATTGCAACATGATATTTCTTCTAACCTGCAGCTCACGGTGCCAAACCCAGGAGTCACCGTAGCAAAGAAGTAGGAAAGGTTGAAATCGATCTTTATTTCTACAAAGTAAATGCTACCGAAAGGCTATCAAGGTCTTTAACTCTTCGCAAAATCCAAAAGTTAATTTTTGATAATTGTGGCAAACTTGAAATGAAAAATAGAAAAGAAAACATGATGCAACGATTTGACTCATCAGTAAAAGTGCAAAGAGGAAAAAACTTATTTCACGATATTGATATTTGTTGGAATTGGAATCCATAGCTGCTTTGAAATCTTAAATTGTGCCAAGTAAGTAGGTAGTTGGGTCAGTTTCATGTCACAGGCATGCAAACTTTACAGGTGATGAAACGAATGCAGACTAATGAAAGTCAAAGGGAAAACGTTCGTGCCATTTTGAATCATTTTCATGAAATAGTAAGATGCTAGAAGAACACTTGTTGTAGATGTAACGTTCTTGAAGATTAATTAAAATATACCCAAAGAAATATAAAACTGAAGGAAGCTTTATTACTAACCTTCTCCCTTAAACAATATGGAAAAGGTCTTTCATTCAATTTTCTAATCTGAATATGCCTTTAACAACGACAAGCCTTTTTTTCTTTTTAAGTTTGTAAACAATGATTAATTTAGTTTTAAGAGTCAGAAAATTTGAGAAAAATAAATAAACGCAAAAAAATATTCATCAACAACCGCCAAGAAGAGATGATTACTTTTTATATTTATATGAATTGTATTACTAAAACTGTGTATTTCTATAAACTTCTTCAAAAATTACAATTTCCAGGTCAAGAAAGCAGCCGAATTACCGCATTCGCAGTATCAGCAATAATTTGACGCCTTTTATTACCATTTTGTTTATAACAACAATTTCTACAGTAAATTAAATCCACAGAAATTCAAGAAATTATTAAATGCATATTTACTTTATAATTCTCTAGTTATTTTAAGCAATAAAATTTCTACTGGTTGATAAAGCAATTAATTAAGGAATATAGCTTAAACGTCTTCAATAACAGAGAAGAAGCTTTTTAACTATGGCAATTTGGGTTTTTGGGTGATCTGATATAAATGCTAAAAGAGGGTGATGATAGGGAGCCGACTGTAAAATTGATGAAAACCAATTCCATTATGTGAAGATTCGCTCTTTTCTACTCGCCCTTGAATACATCAAAATTCAATGGGTTAATGCTAAAAATCTCATCAACATAGACATTCAAATTCGCAAACAACTTTTAAGCCTTATTAATTTTTCGGTTAACCAGATTAAGTAGAAGTCTTGCCCTAATTTAAAAGGCATAACGAATAAACATTTCACAAAACCTCTTACTCAACCTTGTTTAGTGCAGTTGAGCGAAGTTTAGCGAAGGTGAAAAAACGAGACTAAACTTTTCACTAAACTTCACACAACTTTTTTGAACTGCGAGCTGTGTAAGACGCTGTAGGGTTATAGGGGATCTTGCTTAGGAATTTTCTTTCTGTTTGTTTTGTTGAATTGGATGAAGCGACGGAAAAAGAAAAGACTTTTTAGCACATCGATAGCAAAGTTGACTGTCTGAAAAAACACTGTAGCGTACAAGGGCTGAAGCAAATGTTTCACGAAGGCATTCTAGAGATTTTGGTCACGTAGAGATACCTTGCGAAAACCGAGGAAAACCTTGCGTTTTCTACAGCTACGGCTCCTGTGCCAGGACAACAAATGTTTAATTAATGGCAAAACGACTAAACATTTGCTAAAACAACACTAAACAGCGCTAAACATTTTTGACCAAAATCAAACTCGCTCAACAACACTAAACAGAACCTAACAACACTAAACAGGGTGGCAAAACAAGTAAACTTTTCAGTAAACTTTTCACTAAACAAAAGTTAAGTGAAATTTCTAGTGAAATGTTTAGCTGTTTTACCACGGCTTAAGCCTATTCTACCAACATTAACGAATCAGAGAAATGTCAAAACTTTAGTGCTCGCCACAGTGATCATAATTACCAAATTTTGACCTACTACGCTTGCATGTGGAAAACAAATGTTTTAAAGGGGGGCCAAACAAGCTCACATACTTGAAGATATTCTTGCCTGTTCAAGAACACAGTCACATACCGACCAAGCAAAAAAAACCTCGGACAATCAAACTTTTTCAATTCACCGATTGCCAACCTTCCATCTTTTACGCAAAGCGCATTGTTGCGCCCACCACTTGATCTAT